AAAGACTCAGCGCACTCCTTACCCCATCCACACTCGCAACAGCCTTAATTGGCTTTTTCTCATTGTTTTCCTGCTTGTTTAGTGGCAAAAAGCAACATTTCATTGTTACATTAGTTGCCTGAATGTGAGTGAACTTTAAACTTGTCTTTTTTTTTTTGGCAATTTGTGTTTGTTCGATGAATGATCTATTCCCAGCCATTGTCCGTTTTTCTACTATTTGACTGTTACGATTGATTTAAATTGCTCCTTTTCCACTCCGATGTAACTCTCTGTCTCTCTTACACATATTTTTCTCCAGCCCCATCAGTATAGTAACTGTCAGCATGAGGCACTTCAATACTTTATAAGGCCGGGTCTACTTATGTGTTGATGGCTTCTAAGCTCAGTGTCGGTTCAGAAATCCCCTTTGCTCCCGGGTCAAAAGTGACCTCCTGGGTGGGATTGCAGCGCGGGTCTCCATTCGTCTTGCACAGAGGACAGTAGGGGTGCGTTTTACTCCCACCCAGATGCAAGACCAGCTACCCTCATTCTCCACACAGGCCTAGGTTACGCCTTGTCACAGAAAAGCTGGGGTCTGCTTTGGGCTCCCTGTCTTCTTTCATTAACAGATTAGTCTATTCTTATTGACGATACTGTGTGGACTTGATCATAGCGGCCTTCTAGTGTATTCTATTATCTTTAGTCAATAATCCGTCACCAGTCTTCCCTAGTTTATTAAGGAATAAATGAATAATGGAATTTGTTTCTTCACGTAAACTTTAAAATTAACTTATCCATTTCAAAATAAAAAAGCACTATTGGCCGGGCCTGCTGGCTCAAGCCTGTAATCCCAGCACTTTGGGAGGCCGAGGCGGGTGGATCACGAGGTCAAGAGATCGAGACCATCCTGGTCAACATGGTGAAACCCCATCTCTACTAAAAATACAAAAAATGAGCTTGGCATGGTGGCATGTGCCTGTAGTCCCAGCTACTCAGGAGGCTGAGGCAGGAGAATTGCCTGAACCCAGGAGGTGGAGGTTGCGGTGAGCCGAGATCGTGCCATTGCACTCCAGCCTGGGTAACAAGAGCGAAACTCCGTCTCAAAAAAAAAAAAAAAGCACTATCATTATTATTCTAAATGAAATGGCATTTAATTTATACATTCATTTAGAGAGAAATGATCTTTTATCAGATTGTTTGCATATTTAATGATGTTTTACAATTTTCTTTTTGTAGAAGATATGATTATTTTGTTAAATTTACACACTTGATTTTGATAAACTTTTTCATTATTATGAAATGAATTTTTTTCTTCATTATCATTCTTGGTACTTTGCTAAAGAACAAAACAGAAAGAAAAGAACAATTTTATACTTTCCCACAGATTGAAGACACTTTTTAAAGAAATGTTGTCAATTTTTTAGAATTTTTAGATGTTGTAGATATCTATCATAGCATTAAGAAAAAGAGATAATTTTATTACGTTTTAAATATTATTATTTCATTTTCTAGACTTTGGTCTAACCGAGATGACAGTACTTAGTTTCAACAATGATAGTGAGTGTTTCTGCTGGTCCTTAATTTTAAATTAAATGATTCCATTGCTTTACTCTTCAAGATAATATTTGTTATTGCTTCTACATTATATTTTAGCAATTCCAATCTATTCTATTCTATTTCCATTTAACCAGGAATGGTAATAGTGAATTTTATGTTTGCGGTTTAAGTGCCTGTGGTATATGATTTTTCCTCTTTAACTTGTCCATACCCTGGATAATATAACCCTATTCTCCAACACGGAGCCATTCTGTGAGTAGATTCTATTTGGCTGTGGTAATCACTCTTTGGATCGGTGGCCCTACCTGGCTTTTATTGTTTTATTTTGAAGGGATATTGATTAGCATGCTCTGTCCTTGTCCTGTTGTCATCAGAGGCCAATATGAAAGTTTTGCTGACTCCGTAGAATGCAGAGGAGCCCTCTCCATTTTTCCTATGGCTAAAATCATTTAAGCAACCTTGGAGTTACCTAACCTTTCGAGATTTGATAGAAGACCGCTGTCAATGCCCTCTGAACCGTGGATTTCAGATCACCTTGTCCATCTCTTCCATCCTCATTGTCCACTGGAGTTTTACCTGTCTTCTTGGAAAAAGTACCGTTATTTCTATTTTGCTAGGGAGTCATCCACCTGCTCCTTATGTTCCAGTGCAGTGCCATGAAAGTGCATATGCAGCCGCTCCTGACCACTCTTCTCTCCTGCGCTCCTGAGCCCTGCTCCTTCCTCATCCCAGCTGCTGCCGCTGCCTCACCCCTGCCCTTCCTCATCCCAGCTGCTGCCTCTACCTCACCTCTGCTCCTTTCTCATTCCAGATGCTGCCGCTGCCTCACCCCTGCCCTTCCTCATTCCAGATGCTGCCTCTGCCTCACCCCTGCCCTTCCTCATCCCAGATGCTGCCTCTGCCTCACCCCTGCCCTTCCTCATCCCAGCTACTGCCTCTACCTCACCTCTGCTCCTTTCTCATTCCAGATGCTGCTTCTGCCTCACCCCTGCTCTTCCTCATTCCAGATGCTGCCTCTGCCTCATCCCTGCCCTTCCTCATTCCAGATGCTGCCTCTGCCTCACCCCTGCCCTTCCTCATCCCAGATGCTGCCTCTGCCTCACCCCTGCCCTTCCTCATCCCAGCTGCTGCCTCTACCTCACCTCTGCTCCTTTCTCATTCCAGATGCTGCTTCTGCCTCACCCCTGCCCTTCCTCATTCCAGATGCTGCCTCTGCCTCATCCCTGCCCTTCCTCATTCCAGATGCTGCCTCTGCCTCACCCCTGCCCTTCCTCATCCCAGCTGCTGCCTCTACCTCACCTCTGCTCCTTTCTCATTCCAGATGCTGCCACTGCCTCACCCCTGCCCTTCCTCATTCCGGATGCTGCCTCTGCCTCACCCCTGCCCTTCCTCATTCCAGATGCTGCCTCTGCCTCACCCCTGCCCTTCCTCATTCCAGATGCTGCCTCTGCCTCATCCCTGCCCTTTCTCATTCCACATGCTGCCTCTGCCTCACCCCTGCCCTTCCTCATTCCAGATGCTGCCTCTGCCTCACCCCTGCCCTTCCTCATTCCAGATGCTGCCTCTGCCTCACCCCAATCATTCCAGATGCTGCCTCTGCCTCACCCCTGCTCCTTTCTCATTCCAGATGCTGCCTCTGCCTCACCCCTGCCCTTCCTCATTCCAGATGCTGCCGCTGCCTCACCCCTGCCCTTCCTCATTCCAGATGCTGCCTCTGCCTCACCCTGCCCTCTCTCTCTACCATACTGGGCTGTGGAGCACCGCTTTGCGTTTTCCTCCCAGCAGCTCTTTTATTCAGAGTTAATTTTAACTTCTGCATGCATTAATTTAACCTTCTCAGTTACTTTTGCTTTAGTTCTCTGTTCCTTAACTGAATTCTTAAAATAGCTACTTAATTTTTTTGTTTTTGTTGTTTTGATGAAAGCAATTTAAAGAGCACAGATTTTCTTCTGAGGAAGACTTTGCTGTTATGCTTGAATTTTCTTACCAAGGAAGCTAACCTTTCATCAATTTCTAGAGAGACTTTAAGCTCTTTCTAAGAATCTCTTTGAATCAGTGATTAGGTGAGTTTGTAGCTCCTTGCTATTTATTTGCAATTTTATTATTATTTGCACTCTTCAATTTAAATCCCTTATTTCCTCCTATTCTTGGGCTGCTGGGCCTGTATAAAACCATGCAGTGAAGGCCCACTGTCACACTTTTCCTGCCTTTCCTACTCTTTTGCTGAATTTCAGCTCCTGCCTGGGTTCCCTGCTGGTCCCACATTCTCAGCTCCTCTGCTCTGACCTGCAATTGAGCCAGCAGGCCTCTGAGGGCTCTCAGTGGAAGCACTTTTTTTTCTAAGCATGACCTGTAGGCCCTGTGCTGGCTCTGAGCCAGGGTGGGGGCGTCTTTGCTGCCCCGACTGCCAGGACCTTGGACTGCAAAGCTGCAGGCCAGGGACTGCCCAGACCGGTTCTAAGGGCATCTGCTTTGCTGCTTCACCACTAGGCCAGCTCCCCCCACCCACATTCTCTCCGCTGCACCTCCCGTGCGTGAGTCCACCCGGAGCTCCTCCTGTCTCCCTGCGCAGCTCTGCAGGGAGGGCTAACTCCAGGAGCGGGTGGGCTGCAGGCTGGCTGGGCGCACTCCCCGTCCTGACTCCAGGTCATCTGTTCTTCCCTGATCCTTGGGGCCTGGGCTGCACTTTGCCCTGAGAGGCGCTTTTCCCTTATTTTCACTGGTAATAATGTCTTATGATGAGAAGGCAGAGATCTTCAGGAAGGGTGCCTCTTTCGGGGTCTGTCGAAAACTGCCGATCTGTGATTCTGGAATTGCTGTTTAACCCCTTAAATCTGATAAGGCCCAGGGTAGGCCCTGCCCCGTGACCCTCCCCAGGAAGGAAGCCTGCCGGGAAGGCCACCTGCTCTCGGTGGTCCACAGAGCTCTCCTGCATCCTGCACCGCCGACTCTTCCCAGGAAACCTGTAAACCTGGAAAAGTGTTTTAGATCCTCATGTTACAGATGAGGAGTTGGAAGCTGGTGACAGCCAGGCTGGAAGCCCCCCCCACCCCGGGTCTCCTCACTCCCCTCTGGCTGTCTTCACACTAAACAGTGACGCCCACAAAACCCTGAAGCTGTGGGCTCACCGTGCCCCTAAACCAAGCCCAGGGCGCTGGAAAGAAACAGGTCAGCACTTCCGAAAGTCAGAGAAAAACCAGACCCGGGATTCCAGGGGCAGCCAGGACCCGTCTCAGCAGGAGCCAGGCTTCGGGGAGGTGCGGGCTCCTAGGATGGCGGCTCCACCCTCTGGGTTCAGCCTCCTCCAAGCAGGAGACACCTGCGGGGAAGGAAGAGCTGGCGGGACCAACCCCCGCAGAGAGAGGAGGGGAAGGCAGAGGGACGCGCGGTGCAGCCTCCAGCTTCTAGAGTCTGAAAAGCGTTTGCGGGGACCGCTGGTGACCCCGAACCCCCTTTGTCCGCAGCTCCGCGAGGAGGCCCGGCCAGCTGCGGGCCCCGCCTGCCTGCCCTTCTACCGCTCAGCCGCTGCCTGCGGCACTGGGGAGCCGGGCACGCCCTTCCTCGGGAACCTGTCGGAGGCGCCCCCGCGGCAACAGGTGAACGGGCTGACCTCGTTCCTGGACGCGTCCACCGTGTACGGCGGCTCCCCGGGCCTGGAGCGGCAGCTGCGGAACTGGACCAGCGCCGAGGGGCTGCTCCGCGTCCACGCGCGACACAGCGACTCCGGCCGCGCCTACCTGCCCTTCGCGCCACCACACGCGCCCGCGGCCTGCGCGCCCGAACCCGGCGCCCCGGGAGCGGCCCGCGGCCCCTGCTTCCTGGCCGGGGACGGCCGCGCCAGCGAGGTCCCCGCCCTGACGGCGCTGCACACGCTGTGGCTGCGGGAACACAACCGCCTGGCCGCGGCGCTCAAGGCCCTCAACGCGCACTGGAGCGCGGACGCCGTCTACCAGGAGGCGCGCAAGGTCGTGGGCGCCCTGCACCAGGTGCGCGGGGTGGTCCTGGGTGCCCCGAGTGGCTGCGCAGAGTCACGGGGTCTCTGCCCCAGGCGTGTGCACAGCCATCGTGGGCGCCCACCTGGGTGAGCTCAAGGTCGTGGGCGCCTTGCGTGGGCGTGGGGAGGGTCATCGTGGGCTCCTGTGCAGGCGCCCAGGGGTAACTGCGGCGCTGGCGGCCCTCCCCGGCCCCTCTGTCCCACCTGCTTACCGGCCCGCCAGCTGGTGATTATCCGACCGAGACACCAACGACAGCCACCCAACAATGGTGCCAGGCCAGCCCGCTTTCCTAGTCCCACAATGGCGCCAGGCCAGCCCGCTTTCCTAGTCCCACAATGGCGCCAGGCCAGCCCGCTTTCCTAGTCCCACAATGGCGCCAGGCCAGCCCGCTTTCCTAGTCCCACAATGGCGCCAGGCCAGCCCGCTTTCCTAGTCCCACAATGGCGCCAGGCCAGCCCGCTTTCCTGGTGCCCACAGCCAGGGTGCGTGCTTTGCGGATTTTAACTCATTTAATAATTCTCATAACAACACTTTGAGGCAGGTGGACAGTGATGCTGGTTTTTTTGTATTTCGGAGACAGTGCAGAGAATGAAGAACAGACTGAATTAGCCACTTAGAGAGTCTATTTGAAACCTTCCTTCATTTTATGTCTCTTTTAAGTATGAGGTCTTGAATGGAGACTCAAGCTGGCCTTTTATTAACTGTGTGGTGGAGAAAAGCACTTACATGCCTGTGAAGCGCAGCCCCTGACTCTGCAGGCCGAGGGCAGTTAGGAAGAATGATGGGTTGTTTATATTGAGTCACCCGGGGTGTCTGTTGCCACAGGCCCTGTATTGGTCTCGGCATGGTCTGTGCTGTCCTCACTGGGAGCCTGCCGGGAAGGGCAGTCAATCCTCTTCTAGAGGAGGAGCTGGAGCCTTGTCCAAGGAGGCCCGGGGGCTGTGTATGGCCGGAGCTACCCTGCTGCGCTCTGAACTTCACTGCCCTTCAATCTCACAATCCCTGGCTGCTCTGCGGTGTGTCATGAAACAAGAACGCACTCAGGTGCTCACTTCGGTGGGATCTTTTGTGTCCTATAGACAACAAGAATGAGAAAGGACACCCTTCCCAGCACAGGCGTGAGGGGCAGAGGGGAGGTGGCCAGCCCTGGGGAGTGTGGGTGGCCGTCCAGGCAGCATGGAGTTGGGATCCACAGGGTAAAAAACAAAGACGCCCAAACATCTGGCTCGGATGACCCCTATGCCCCGGCCACCAGCTAGCAGACCCAGGTGTCCAGGGACCACAGAACCTTTGCTCTGGATGCGTGTGGAGGCAGGACCAGCCCCTGGAGGAACTGCAGGCCTCCCTGGGCATCCCCATCCTAGGAGGCAGGTCCACATCTCGGGCAGGGCCTGCATCCTCAGCCACTCGGCTGCTGACCTTCGCTGTAGCTCAATCCTGTTCCAGAGCCAAGGAGCAGATAGGTAAAGCCATGCTTCCCAGGCTGGAAGAAAGAGAAAGGGCAGTTTTTGGAGTGGGTGCTGTTGTGGCCCCACCCAGACCCCTTTACCTGCACGGCCCCACCCCCCAGAAGCCTCCTATGTGGGCTGACAAAATCTCTTGGTATAATACTCAATCCAGGGGTAGCTGTGGAGGCTGAACCCTGCCCAACAGGGACGGCCAGGCCCCTGCCTCACGGTGGACCAAGCCCAGGTGCGCCACACTGCAGGGCCTGGTTCCTGCCCCTCCTCCATAGGCAGCAACCTCATAGGCACTCCTGGCTACAGAGGAGCAAGAGCCAGGCCCAGCTGTATCAAGTCCTTGGGGAGCTTGGTGCCCTCTCTGGGGCGCCCTCAGCAAACGCATGGGAGCCCTGCCTCTTATGGACTAATGGGGCATGTGTGAGAAAACTTGGGGTGACATTGTTCTGCACGGAGCCTGCTGGGGACGTTGAGAGCAACTGGGAGTCGGGGGGTTCAGAGGAGCCCGTGCCTGGGGCTGCATGGAGGTTTCCCACCGTTGGTGAGAAGGATTGCATCTCCAGGTCTCTTCGTCCTGGCCTCCCCGGGTGCTGGGGTCCTGGCTTCCTGTCACCTTCACGCCCACCATTTTCCTGAACCTTTCGGTCATTCCCACTGGTGGGTTGTGAAGGCAAAGCAATGGAGACTGGCCACAAGTCAGCACCTGGAGGCTTTGGCAGAGGTGGCAGGGACCCCGGAGGCTGGGATGAGAGCAGACAGGAAGCAGCCTGAAGCCATGTGGGGACAAGGGGCCTCCGGAGGGCACTGCCAGCAGAGGAAGAAGATGTGGCCCACCTGGGAGGTGGAGGACAGGTGGGGCACCCGTCAGTGACAATGCCCAGTCTGATAGTATTGTGTCTAACCAAGTCCAGTAGTTCAGAGCAGCCATTTCCCCCACACGACCAGGTAAAGAAATACCAGAAGCATTTTCAGAAGAATTGCCATGAAAATTCCAGAGAGCTGCTCACAAGATTTAAGTGTTTTCTTTTGAGATCGATCTCCTCTGTTACCCAGGCTGGAGTGCAGTGGCACAATCACAGCTCACTGCAGCCTCAACCTCCTGGGCTCAAGCAATCCTCCCAGCTCAGCCTCCTGAGTAACTGAGACTACAGGTGTGCACCACCACACCTGGCTAGCATTTAATTCTTTAAAATGTTTTGTAGAAACAGAGTCAGACTGTGTTGCTCAGGCTGGTCTCAATCTCAGACTCAAACAATCCTCCCACCTTGGCTTCCCAAAATGCTGGGATTACAGGTGTGAGCCACCGCACCTGACTCAAGATTCAAGTTTTTAGGCCCCATTGGTCAGAACAAAGGGTGCTTCTGCCCAACCTCGACAGCTCCCAGGGGAGGTTGGAGGATCTGAGCCCAGTTGCTTACTGGGGATATGTCAGGTCAGATGGGGAGGAAGCGGGGAAGAGGAGAGACACACCGTTCAGAGCTCTGGCAAGCTCGGACACTGAGGATGGGTGACAGGGCGTGGGTCTGCTGTGTGTGAGCAGCTGGCTGGGCACGGGTGGAGCTGCTGAACCTGAGGCTCGGGCGGCAGGAGTTCTCTGCCTGTGCTTGCTGCCGTCCCTGCCTCACAAGTCAAACTTCAGCTAGGCAAGAAGGGGAAGAGGTGTCTTCCTTAAAATAGCTTGCACTTGAATTTGAAACTGCCTCAGTCCCTGGGATGAAAAGGGACAGGCCTTTTCCTTTCTAGTGTAGTGAAAAGACACTGAAGAAGAATGTTCCAGGGAACAGAGGTGCTGCCTGAGCAGCACTTCCTCATGCCATTAGGAGGAACCCTCAGACACCTGTGTGGTTCAAAAACGCCACATACATTGCAGCTGAGGTGGAGAGGCCATCCTGCCCGGTGAAATCCGAACTCCTCTCAAACGCTGACCCATCACACGGTGCTTCTCACCGATGGAGGAACCAGCGCAGGGATGGGAACCCACCTGGGAAACATTTGGATGCCGGCTTTTCCTCCTCGTTCGTCTGGGTCTCTGGGGTAGAGCGGGACAGCAGAGACCAGGTGTGCCCTCTGTGAAGGCCCAGGCCACATGGGACTCACGGCTCTCCCTGGTCTCCCTGAAGGGCCATTAGGTGCTTAGGAAATGCATTCTGTCATCTGGAGGGAACATGGTACAAGTGTGTAAATAACATTTGTTATTTTTAAACAATCCGCATGCCTTCCTAACCTGGTAAGCTAAAACAGAAGATTCATATTGTAGAATAGAGTTATTCCTATTATGTTTCATTTTGATGTGGCTTATTGACCAAAATACTCCCCTAAATACCAAAACAATTTGACATTGCTTTTTCTGACTGAAAGAAACACTGTGAAACCTGAAAGTAGGATATTTGTACGTAATTCTCCTGGGACCACGTTGAAAATCACAATTTCCAGACCCCATGACTGCCCTGTAGCTTCCTGCTGACAGAGGTCTGTGCCATACAACAAAGGCTCTAGGAATTCGGTATTATTGTTGCCTTCTAGAAAGAGGAACTGCTCCCCGCTGTCAATCCAGCCAGGATTCGAGCCGCCCAGCCTGGCCTGGTGACTGTCGTTGGCTGGACAGAGGCGCTGCCAGCTGCAGCACCATCCTGGGAAGGAGGCTCTCTAGGTAGCCCTTTACATGTGCCTCCTGGATATCCATGAAAAAATCAACAAGAAGACCTTTCTGGGAAGTTCGGCTTTGGCCAAAAGTCCAGCTCCCTGGGGACGTCAAGGATGGTGCTTCTGTCCCCAGCCGCTCGATGCCACCCTCTGTTGATACCCTGGGCCTCACTGAGATGCTTTTCATTTCTGCGCAGATCATCACCCTTAGGGACTACGTCCCCAGGATCCTGGGACCCGAGGCCTTCCGGCAGTACGTGGGTCCCTACGAAGGCTATGACTCCACTGCCAACCCCACTGTGTCCAACGTGTTCTCCACGGCTGCCTTCCGCTTCGGCCATGCCACGATCCACCCGCGGGTGAGGAGGCTGGACGCTGACTTCCAGGAGCACCCTGACCTGCCCGCGCTGTGGCTGCATGAGGCATTCTTCAGCCCTTGGACACTTCTCCGAGGGGGTGAGTGGACGCGGTCCCTGCGGCTGGTCCCACGAGAGCTCCCTTCTTTCGATGACTCTCTCCGTGTGGGCACACGTGCTGATCCTACACAAGGTTTTAATATGTATGGGGAAAATAAATGTGTTTAAAGCATTTTAAAAGGCTAAACTGGGGCCATGTGCAGTGTGGCTCACACCTGTAATCCCAGCACTTTGGGAGTCCAAGGCAGTGAATCACTTGAGGTCGGGAGTTTGAGACCACCTTGGCCAATATGGTAAAACCCCCATCCCTACTAAAAATACAAAAAAAATTCGCTGGGCATGGCGGTGGCTGCCTGTGGTCCCAGCTACACAGGAGGCTGAGGCAGGAGAATTGCTTGAACCCACGAGGCAGAGGTTGCGGTGAGCCAAGATCTCACCATTGCATTCCAGTCTGGGTGACAGAGCAAAAAACTCCATTTAAAATATAATATATAATAAAATTAGGGGCTAAACTGTTCTATGGTTATGAAAAGCACCATCACTTTAGGATGTTAATGATGGGTTACCTTTGGAAGTTATCTATTCAGAAGCAAATCATCTGATTCCCAATTCATTTTTTGGAAAAGTTAATTTTAAGCTTCCCCCACTTTTTATTTCTATTCCTTTCCCAGTACTCTGTGTGTCCTTCTGGAAGCTTCTAACCTGTCGCAAAAGTTGACGGCTCCCGGTGCGGGGAGTGGGGAGGGTGAGGTGCTGCAGTGTGTCCAGCAGTACCTGCTTAGATGAGAGCTGAACCAGGCACAGCGTGTCAGAGAGGTGGGCACGCCTGGCCCTCCGCAGCTGCCTGGCCTCTGATGACACCCAGGTCACCCACCCAGGATGACACGCATCATGTTTTCTGAGTTGTGCCTTTGGGGCACCCTGAGGCCACACTGACTCTTTAAAGACTCTGATGTCATGCAGTTGTGGGTTCACACGCCTTTGAGGTGGAGGGTCCCTGACGGGCGGTGGGGTCTGTTTCCATATGGGGCCTTTGGAGATGACGGGAACAGTGGTCCCCAGGCAGCCTGGCCACTCCCTCAGCTAAGCCGTGCCTTCCTTTCACTGTTCTGGATGTTAGAATTCAGCAAATGCTTCTCTTTCTTTGGTAATCTTTCTGTTGCTGAGAAATAAAACAAAAAGCTTTAAAAACTGGCAGCTCCTCCTCCAGACCTCTTTCCTTCTGAGGGTCCATCCCCCATGAGCCACATTGTCAGTGTCAGCCCAGCAAGGGCAGCGTCCTGAGGACATTCAGGAAAGTCTGGAGTCACACAAGCTGAGTTCATGAACTTACAGGAAGATTTGCTAAGGATAAGACTGAGATATTGTTTCTCTAGAACGGAGCCAAGAACTGTCCTTGCCTTTGCCTGGTGTTTGCAGGTGGTTTGGACCCGCTAGTACGAGGCCTCCTCGCAAGACCAGCCAAACTGCAGCTGCAGGATCAGCTGATGAACGAGGAGCTGACGGAAAGGCTCTTCATGCTGTCAAATTCCAGCACCTTGGACCTGGCGTCCATCAACCTGCAGAGGGGCCGGGACCACGGGCTGCCAGGTCTGCCAGTTCCTTCCCTTGCCTGCCTCACACCGCTGCTGTGGGATTTGCCCAGGCAGGAACCTGCTGCTAGGGAGACTGATTGAAAGTAAAACGCATCTGCAAACCTTCTAAGCAGCCGCTCTTGAGGGCCCCGGTTCACTCAGCTTAAGAGGCCACTTCCAGCTTTCCTTAGAGACAGAGTGGCACAGAGAGGGTGGTTCTGAGCCTCGCAGGAACCTGTGAGCTGGGCGGTGAGAAACAGCCAGTCCTAGCCGAGGGAGGAGGCACTGCATGAGCAGACAATGGCAGGCCTGCGTCCAGTGTCCTGGGAAGCTCCTGGCATGGCTAGGGTGCTCCCCTCCCCTTCTCCTCCCCCAAACGGCGTCCCAGGGCCTGCAGAGGTCATTCCACCGCCTCAGGACTCCTGTCAATGAATGGTCCAAGCTGGCCCCTGGCGGGAGTGGCTGTTCCTCTCAGGCTGGCAGCCTCCGTGCTCCCCATACCCCACCTGGCTCCTGACTTTCCCGGCCCATACCCTGCAGCCTGCTCAGTTCCTGCACCCCTGACCTCAGGTCCGCCTCAGCCTTGCCTCCCCTGGCTCCTAGGGGTTCGGTTGTCTGGTCGACCTGCAGCCCCTGCACAGGCCCCATCCCCCAACACCGCTTACTCCCTGTGTAGCGCTGACCTCTCCATGCAGCTGGGAGCTGGAAGGTGCCCTTCTGATGTGTGGGTGACAGGTGAGGGCCCCTGGAAGCTGGAAGGTGCCCTTCTGATGTATGGGTGACAGGTGAGGGCCCCTGGGAGCTGGAAGGTGCCCTTCTGATGTGGGGGTGACAGGTGAGGACCCCTGGGAGCTGGAAGGTGCCCTTCTGAAGTGTGGGTGACAGGTGAGGGCCCCTGGGAGCTGGAAGGGCCCCTTCTGATGTGTGGGTGACAGGTGAGATGGATGGTGCCAGCAAGTCCTGCTCATTCTGTCCCTGGGCCCTCCCCTGTCCCTGGGCATTCCCCATCCCTGTCCTCCTCAGCAGGGCATCTGGAAGGGCTGGGGTCAGCAGCCACATAGGCTGTGAATATCTGGGACCAAACATGAGTTGGGAAGATGCAGAAGGGGCACTCGTGTTTCAGGGTAGTGCACACAGTCCCCTGTGCTCCCTGCACACCACACGCAGCTGCTTCCTTGTTACTAGAGCTCAGGGAGCACAGCCCGAACACACCCTCCTACACCCAGCACACGCCCGGCACACACCCAGTACACACCCAGCACACACCCAGTACACACCCAGCACATGCCTGACACATACCTGGCACATACAGCACATGCCCGCACACACCCGGCACACACCAACACACACCCAGGACACACCCAGCACACACCCAGCACATGCCTGACACATACCTGGCACATACAGCACATGCCCACACACACTGGATACACCCAGCACACACCCGGCACACACCCAGTACACACCCAGCACATGCCTGACACATACCTGGCACATACAGCACATGCCCACACACACTGGATACACCCAGCACACACCCGGCACACACCAGCACACACCCAGCACACGCCTGGCGCATACCTGGCACATACCCAGCACACGCCCACACATACTGGACACACCCAGCACACGCCTGGCGCATACCTGGCACATGCCCAGCACATACCCAGCACACATGCCCGCAGACGCTTTTACTCTGGCTGGGGCCCCCTTTGCTACCAACCCTGCTCAGGCCCACAGTTTGATCTCCTCACATACCCGCTGCTGGCTTCCCGAGCTAACAGCATCAGAGAGTGAGCGACCCCCTCCCAGCTCTAACAACCCCTGCCCTCCTCTGCTTTACTTTTCACCAACTGAAATGCAGCCAAAGGCAAAAACCCACATTCCCATTGGCCTGTGGGTCCCCCGTAAAACAGAAGTCCAGGAGGAAGGGCTGTGTCTCAGGGCTGTGAGGCTATGGTTGCACCCAGAACCATTGACTGGCACAGAACAGCACTTGCAGAATGCTCACTGAGTGAGTGAGTGAATGAATGAATGAATGAATGATGAATGTTTGGGCAAATAAACACTGACAAGCAAAGAAGGGCTTGTGGGAAGGGAACAAGGAGTAAGACCAGCACGCAGCCCAACTCGTGTTCAGAAGACCTGGGCTTGGGCCTGTGCTCAATTTTGGATGAATCTCTTAATTAAGTGCATTCTCACTTTCTCCCGAGTGCCAGGACAGTAGAGTCAACCTCACGTTTGAGTGTTGGAGTCGCACACATGAGTGTGTGGTGTGAGCACAGGTCGTAATGACACAGCAGTGTACGAGCTGCCACGTGTGGGTCCCTGTGGCCTGCAGTTCGAAGCCCACTGCATGTGTTAGCTCTCTGTAGAGAGACAGAGGTGGCACAGAGAGGGTGCCACGGTTGAAGGCCGGGCTGCAATCACTTTTTAAAAGATGGATTGAGACACTGAAGCACAGACAGTGGAGGCAACTTCCCCACGTCTGAATTCCAGCAATGGGACGTGTCGCTGCGCCAGAAAGGCCACAAACGTGGCAGCAGCTTCAGTAGATTTGATCAGTTAGATCTGAGGCTAAATTGGATGAAAGAGAAAGGCTCGTGTCACAGCAAGCTAAGCTGGGATGATGATTTTCACTACGCCCTGAAATCCTGTTGTGCTTTACAGGGAATATAAAATGTTCAACCTTCCCCCAAATCTTCTTCACATTCCCATTTCTGCAGCGTCTCCCACAGGCCGGGACAGCTGAGGTTGCTGTTGATTCTTCCCTGCTCTGGGCTCTGGAGCTGCGATGAGATTGACTCACTTCCTGCCTTTACCTCCTGCCCAGGCCTCTGCACATTTTCCCTGTAGAGCTGGAAAAAGTTGCAAATGTGTTTCCTCTTAGAGCAGTAAGAAAGGAAAACACCCTCCTAACTTTGCTGTTTCGTTTTAAAATTAAAATATCAGTCTCCCACGGGTATGGGAAATGTTTCTATTACTTTGTTCTACTTAAAACAGTTTGACAGTGGTCTAACTTGATTATATAGAAACTTTCTCCCTCATTCTAGAGCTTTAATTCACTCATTATTTTGGTTTTTGACTAATCTGAAAATGAATGCATTCTTTTAACAAATATTTAATGAAATTACTGCTCTGTCCCCCAAGCCCTGTGGCAAGCAACGGGCCTCTGTGTTTTCCGTATAAACCCAGTGTCTCCAGGTGACCTGTTACTGGATCTGAGAAACGTGCGGGGTGTGTTTGGGATGGTCTGGGTAAAGCAGACTGCATGGCAAAGAGGAAATGTTGTTGAAGGTGCTGAGGTGGGAGACACAGGGGCCTCTTGGCGGGGGCAAAGCACCTCCTCCCAGTGGCTCTGATGAGAGGCTGGGATGGCGCATCTGGAGACAGAAAACCAGTGTGGTTCCTGCAGATCACAGGGCGGCAGAGCCCACCACAGACAGCAGGAGCTGGGCAGAGGCAGCGCACCGTCTCACGGGGGCTCAGGGGACTGTTGGGCATGCAGCAGCACCAGGGCTTCGGGGCCAGCCAAGGGGGGTGACCTGGGAGCCCAGGAGTGACTTGTTCCTCCCAACCGTGAATCAGGGAGCTGCCCTTTAAGAGAGAGTCCATGGCACCTGACAGCAGTTTCTGAAAGTTCAGATTTTAAATCTCACTCCTGCTTTCCTCCTTCGCTTTGTCTTTTCCTCCAATCGTCTTTTTCCAAGTTTTTCCCACCCTCTGACTCTGAGAGTCTTTATCACATGGGCCTCCCCTCCCCAGACTCATTGGAGGATGCCTGGCTCTTTCTCCTAGTTCTGTTTCGTCTAAACACAAGACACTATGAGGCTCGACTTTGTGCCCCCTGAAAGCCTCTTTGCCCCTGGGGAACCGGCCCAGTGCTCACATGTCGCTATGTGTGAACTTGTCTGGGACTTCCACCGGGAGCCTGTGGTGGGCAGGGTGCTGAGGGTGGAAGCAGACACAGTCACAGCCAAAGCTCTGCACGGGGCAGGTGGATGAGCAAAGACAGCAGCAGAGGCCCTGGGCGACACTCTGATCAGATGCCACGGGCTGTGAGGGTCACCCAGCCTGCAGGAGGGAGGGCTTCTGGAGGAGGCAACAGCTGAACCAAGAGGAGTGGATGAGGGTCAAAGGCGGATGTGAGGAGGGGGGCACAGCGAGGGGCACAAAAGGGGGAGCAAGTGCGTATCAGGCAAAGGTGCAGCCACGGAGCCAGACCACAGATGGGGCTGGGCAGGGAGCGACCCAGGTGTGGGTCAGCAAGGCGGAGGAGTGATGAGAGAGGCCGGGGACTCACCAGGGTTGCAACAAGAAAAGATCTCCAGTCTTCAATATGGAGATGGTTGGCCAGACAGATAAAGATATTTGTGTATGCCCTTCCCAAGGGAGGGATGGCAGGAGGAGGGAGGGCATGCTAGCTTCTATGTGTGCCCCTGATGTCACTGTGGGAGTGAACTCTGAGGAGGATGCTCTGTAGAGGCAAGAACTGAGTGCGGGCTGGGCCATAGCAGGAGTCCCCTTCGACGCCCTGGACTCAGCATTCTTGCTGTCTCCAGCTCCTTTATGAGCAAACCCTGCAAGAAGAGCTCTGACGCCCGAGCTGGAATATCCTAGCCTGGCAAATGGCCGGGCAGTGCCTTGGCTTGAGACGGGACTCTGCCAGGCCACGCTTCCTGTCTTGTGGACCACAGCGTGAGTGAGGTGGGCTGAACAAAAGTTCAGGTCTGGAGAGAAACCCTGTAGCCTTTCCCCGTGCAGGTTACAATGCGTGGAGGGCGTTCTGTGGCCTGCCGCGCCTGGAGACCCCCACTGACCTGCACGTGGCCATCGCCAGCAGGAGCGTGGCCGCCAAGATCCTGGAATTGTACAAGCACCCTGACAACATCGATGTGTGGCTGGGAGGCTTAGCTGAAGACTTCCTCCCTGGGGCCCGGACAGGTCCCCTGTTTGCCTGTCTCATTGGGAAGCAGATGAAGGCACTGCGGGATGGTGACTGGTAGGTACCTGTCCTTCACGTTCTACACAGAGGGGTGGTCAGTGTGGGTTCTAGGCCAACCAGGCCTGCATTCAAATCCTGGCTCCATAGCTCAGCTCTTAGAGAGCCTTGCTCCAGTTGCTCCTCCCACCCATGGCTTCCAATGCAGGACAGTGTTGTTATAGAAATGAAGCAATTACGAAGCTCGCAGCCTGTGCTGAGCACCGAGAATGAGAGACGGTGCTGATTTTTCCACGCATCCACCCACAGAGCAAGCAGGCGCCTACAGAAACAGATTGTGACACATTGGTGATGGCCTGCAGCTGCATCCCACCCCCTGACAATGTCTGGGGAAGCGCAGAGATGGCAGTGACTCAGGTGCAGACACAGGTGGTGCCCAGGGCTCATAGATGCCCCTGGGCTGGACAGCCCTTCCTGCCCCCACCCCCGCCCAGAGCAGAAAGCTGAGATCTGGCTATCCAGCCTCGCACCTGTCTGTTCCTTCCTAAGGTTCAACCCAGAATTTGGGGGTTTGTCCCAGAGAGGGTCAGAGCCAGGTCCTGTTTCTGTCTGACACGGAGTCTGTACCCCCACAGAAGCAGGTGCACAGGATGTCAGCAGTAAGATTTTGGAATAACACACAGAAAAACAGTGGGAAAACGTTTCTTTTGCTGTTAAAAACATCCCCAGCTATCCAGCTCTCTCTGTTTTGGGTAGTCACTGTGCCTAGGTCAGGTTTTTGCTCTAAGGGAGCTGTGTTCTTCTCAGAGCGTGCACCTGCCACAGACCAGCCTCGTTTCCTTTCCCCAGTGTGACTCTTATCTCCCATTTCTGAGATGTAGCATTTCAAGGAGCTAGGAACCCCTGGGGAGAAATCACCAGAATGCATCTCCCTCATAGCTGTGTGTTTTCAGCAGACGTGTGGTTCAGAATACTCTGAGACACGGGAAGCCACTTGCTCAGGAGGGGAAAGATTTCGCCAGCTTGCCCCATATACATGTCTCCCACACACGTCTCATGCCTTCCGTGGCTGAAGCTCCATCTGAAGCCAGTGCAGAGGCAGCTGGCAGACTCCTGGGTGGTGCCGCAAATTTCGCATCTATGTATCTGTGACTAAATATCTCCCCAATGCAAAAATGGGATCAATTAACTTATATATAGTGGGACCCCTTTTTTATGTTCTAAGAGGAATTCATCCCCATGATGGGAAGTGGAAGCGCTTTTATACAGTCAGGGGAAATGCATGCTTCATGGCATGCAGGCCAGGAGTTGTTGGAGTTTTGTCAACGATTTTTGTATTTTGAGAGCAAAGTGGAACTTCATTTCTTCACATTACAATTTTCTTGATTAACCGTGGCTTGGAGGAAGAAGCTGCAGGTAGAGAGGCTGTGCAGGGCACAGTGACTTCACAGCAGAGAGCAGCAGTCTCTCAGACAGTGGAATCTGCCGTCATTCTTGTTTTTCACAGAGCACTGCACCCCAGATAACAGCAACACAGCAAATTAGATGCTCATAGACAGGCTCTGAGCCCCTCTTCCCATCTGACGCCACTTTTTCAGACAACCAGGTGCACGCTATGCTGCCCCTCCGCATTTCCTTCAGGTCCTCAGTGCCTGCACCTGCGTGGCCCCAGGTGCTGGGGCTCTGGGCAGATGCCACAGCATCTCCTTCAGGACCTTAGTGCCTGCACCTGTATGGCCCCGGGTGCTCAGGGTCTGGGCAGAAGTTCAGGGGAAGCCAGCGGACCACAGCAGTGGGTGCCTGGCCCTGAGCGCCTGCCCTGGGGTTCTCCATGCACCATGACCTTATGCACCATATCTGTCTCTGGAGGTTTTGGTGGGAGAACAGCCACGTCTTCACGGATGCACAGAGGCGTGAGCTGGAGAAGCACTCCCTGTCTCGGGTGATCTGCGACAACACCGGCCTCACCAGGGTGCCCGTCGATGCCTTCCAAGTCGGAAAATTCCCTGAAGACTTCCAGCCTTGCGACAGCATCCCTGGCATGAGCCTGGAGGCCTGGAGGGAGGCCTTCCCTCCAGGTGACATGTGGTCCCTTTTCACACATTACAGCACGTGCAGCTCCACAAAGAAGCTTGTCTTCCCAAGGAGCTGATTTTATCTTTTCACTGTTTAGAAAATAGTGTCAGTGCCCTGCCTTACACCCTCAGGGCAGCTCATGGGGTGGGGCCGGGCCCTTCTCTAGTAAGAAAGGAACTGGAGGCCTAGAAGTGAGCCTTTGGGGCCGACCTGGGAAACGGTGGTGGTGTGTGGGTGCCCAGCGAGTGACCACAGCAGGCTCCCCACCTCAGCATCAGCCCCCTCCAGGGCACAGGTGCGCCTGTGACGGGGACATTGGCGTGTGGCTCTTCCCTCTCAGTTTGACGACTCTCAATCTGTCCACATTTCATAGAGGACAAGTGTGGCTTCCCAGAGAGTGTGGAGAACGGGGACTTCGTGCACTGTGAGGAGTCTGGGCGGCGCGTGCTGGTGTATTCCTGCCGGCACGGATATGAGCTCCAGGGCCAGGAGCAGCTCACCTGCACCCAGGAAGGGTGGGATTTCCAGCCTCCCCGCTGCAAAGGTCAGTCCTTTAACGGGGCGTGTGTTCTTTCGTGATAATTACATAACATTTGCCCGTTTCCAGTGTAAATTAAGAATTCAATGTCATTGAAAATTTCTTCGCCAAAGCTGCACCTGAGGCTGTTATCTTCCAGGAAAAATTTGGGGATGGAAGCCCAGGTCTGTCCTCTTGCCTGGCCGTGCTCCCAGTCGGCGTCTTTCTAGGTAGTCGGGGCTCGGGAGAGGCATGGGAATCGTGACCAATGGGGTCACCAGTGAGGGAAGAGAGAGGAGTCAGTGAGTTCCAGGCAAGGTTGTGGTGAACTGGCAGGGCCATTTTCTCAGAGGAAACACAACAGCTAACATTTCCACTTCAGAAACCCGGAGAGCAAGGCTGGCCTCCACCCCCACCTCCTATAGGCAGCTGATTTCCAAGCTGGGCCTGGTCCTCCGGCTGCTGGGTTCCTCTCCCAGCCTGTCTAGGTGTGGACAGGTGCAGCCTCCCTGCTGTAACTTGAGAGCAGGCTGGTGAGACACCCCGACCATCTCCACCTGCTCCTCCCATGCGCCTGGCTTGAGCCGCCATCAGCCCAGGGCACCTGGGAGCAGCCATGCTGGACGACAGAGCCTCCCAGGGGAAGAGCCATGTTCTGGGGTCACTCTTTGGGAAGCAGCAGAATGGGCATCCTCATCCAACTGTTCTGAGAGCTCTCTGGGTAAGACCCCCGTGGCTGGGGCCTCCTGTCGGAGCAGCTCGAATCCCCCAACTATTTCAGAAACACCCTTCAAGCAAACCTGGACGGCTGGCTCTGGTCTCCTGGGCCGGCGGGATCAGGGCAGGCAGGGCAGGAACGGCTGCTGTTCTCAGAGGAAGGTGGCTCTGACAACACTCACAGCAATCTTTAAGAGGCCAACCAGCTACCTTCCTCGTGGAGGAAACTTGTATCAGACACAGAGCCTCCTGGGAGCTACCTGCTGTGGGCACCACTTACCTGGACCTCAGAAGAAAGATGGTGCAGGAATCTGGCTGGTTTGCAAGCAGAAGCAAAAGCGAAGTCCACAACTTTCAGTTTTCTCAGAGTTTTTAGAAGGTGAAAGAGTCCTGGAGCCAGTGTTTTGGGACACCCAGGTGAGAGACTCCTTGGAGGCCAGAAGTTCAAGACCAGCCTGAGAAATGTAGTGAGACCCCATGTCTACCAAAACAGGAAAAAAGTCCTGGAGTGGGGGAGGGTATGATAAGCTGCACAAGGTCACTGTGCTTGATGCCATTGAACTGGATGTTTAAAAACGGCTGAGTTGGTAAATTTCACATTATATATAATTTAGCACAATATAAAATTTCAATTTCAGTTTCAATTTTGAAAGTCAGAAACGTTTGTCCCTGAAGGGCTGCCATAGCCAACTCCTTCCAAAGCCTCAGTTGTAAAGGGAGAGGCTGAGACCCTACGTGCATGAGACCCACCAGGACTCAGGGCTGCGGCAGGGTCAGGTCAGGGTGCGGTTCCCGCCGGGTCTGTGGTCTCAGGCACCCTCCTGGGAGCCACCTTCCCATTAGGAGGCGAGAGAAGGGATGTGGAGAGGAAGAAAGGAAGCGGCTGGGGAACGGTGCCTCCGAAATAAATTTCAGAGTCACTAGGGGCACAGGGAGCTGCCTGGGCATCAGCAGGGCAAAGTCCTGCTTCGTGGGCAAGGGAGGGCGCCATCGCTGGAAAACAGCAGCCTGGGCTGGGCCCCCTTTGTGTGTGTTACGGAAAACAGTTCGCAATCAGTACTGATTTTCTTTGAGAAATGGAAACGTGTGCACTTGTGCACGCTGCGTGTGGAGCGTGGACGCCACTGCCACTCTTCCTGAAAGTCAAGGTGAAGCATCCTGAGAGCAGAGCCGGGGCCTCCGTGCAGGCTGCCCTGGTGTCTGGGGGCACTGCTTGTTTCTGATGCTGGTTTCCTCCTCTGTTGCTGGGAGTGCTGCTCTTCAGCCGGGGCTGACTTGTCCCCTCCTTCCTGTCCATCCTTGGGAAGGGGACCCACACAGCACCGGCCCCTGAGTCGGGCTTCTGCTTAGAATAAACGGACCGTGGGTAGAACATCGTGGGCCAAACTGTGCCCCCCAAAAATCTATGCTCAAGTTCTAGCCCCTGTACCTCTGCATGTGGCCTGATAAGAAGCCAGGCCATTGTGGGCACCACTGAGTTAAAATGAGGCTCTCGGTGTGTCCCAATCCAATGCGTGGTGTCCTCTTGGGAAGAGGAGAGGAGACACAGAGACGGGACCATGCCAAGATCCAGGATGGAAACAAAGCATCTGCCAGGCATGGGCCCCATGGGACGCTGGCACCCACCAGGAGCCGGAGCAGGCAGGAGGGACCCTCACCCCAAGAGAGCCTTCCAAGGGTGCATCGCCAGGCCAACACCCTGACTTCAGACCTGTGGCCTCCAGAACTGTTGGAGGATGCATTGCTGGCACATGGAGCCATCAGTTTCTGATGGTTTTTCCCAGCAGCCACAGGGAACTCATACCTGGGATGAGTCTGAATTGAAGGGACAGAGTGAGGCACAGGAGAGGGGTGTAAGCTGCTCCGAGGGAACTCCCGGGTGGATGCAGGATGTCTTGGCCAGTGGGAACAGCAGCCCCGGGCAGGGCTGCTCACAACAGCGGCTGCCATTTCCACTCTGTGGGCCTCATCACAGGTCCCGGCCATGGGTGGTGACTTAGATTTTCATGCAATCATGATGGAAGCACTCCCCTACCCCAGGGGCAGCTGCAGACACCTTCACACAGCCCCAGTGCTTCACAGCTCTGCATGATGGGATGCAGGAGGGGCTGGTTCCAGGGGCAGCTTTAGCCAAGAAAGATGTTATATGTTTAACAGCCTTGACTTGGTCACCTATACTCAGCCCCCTGAGTAGCCATGATTATAGGTGCCCACCACCGCACCCGGCTAACTTTTGTATTTTTAGTAGAGATGCAGGTTTCACCACATTGGCCAGGTTGGTCTCAAACTCCTGACCTCAGGTGATCCACCCACCTCGGCCTCCCAAAGTCCTGGGATTACAGGCTTGAGCCACGGTGCCCGGCTTCTGACATTCTTATGTAATGGTTGTCGTTATCAATAACGTCATTATTAATGACTGTACTGTTTAGAAAGCCTGCGCGATCCTGACACCCCGATAGTTTTTATAAGCACATTGATCCCATGCCTGTTTTTCATAGCAGACATTAGGACACCCATTCTCTATCTGAGAAAAGCAGGGTGGGCCAAGCCTCCTCAGCCCAGAGCCCTGTGTTTGGAGTGGGGAGTCCCATCCAATGCAGCCCCTCACCCTGGGGAGCAGGTGGGCAGCAGACCACACCAGCTGGCCTTCGAGGCTGTGCAGGTCTCTGGCTCCGGGTCACCTGAGTGCTCACTGCTCAGGATTGCAGGTTCTCATTGTCCTGGGGTTGTCGGGTCTGGAGCTAAGTCCTGTGGCCTATGTGGACTCCAGCTCTTCCACTCAGCGGCGAGACTGGGGAGAGTCCCTTGACCCCTCCCGGTGCCCTCTGTCTGGAGGTGTCGCCAGCACCAGGGACACAGGAGTGCCGGGAGGTTTTGGCCCCCAGCCTGGCCCTCGGTGAGGCTGCACCCAGGCCAGCTCCATTCCCTCCGGACAGAGCAGCTCCAGGAAGAACATGCATCCCAGCAGTGACAGCACCTGTCCCACTTAGAGAACGCGCACATGGGCCTGGAGCGTGGCTCTTACACGCCACTGCCTGTTTTCTAAAATTGGCCAGAAAAGGAACATGATTCGAACAAAACACACAGCAGATTATCTGGAAACACACGCCTGGGGAATGAGGCACTAGGTTATAGGCTTCAGGTGCAGGGAGAGCAGGAGGGGACACCCCATCCTCACTGGCAGGGACAGGCGTCCCCAGTCCTTGCTCTCAGAGGAACGGCTGGCCGGCTGGGAGAATCTGCCGGGGGAAAGCAGACCCTGCTCCACCCTCACCCTAGCCCCTTCCTTCCCCTGTGTCTTGCCCTTGGCCAAAGCCCACATTCCCTTATCCCAGGCAGACCCTAATTTCCTCGAGGAAGGCTCCTGTGACTGCTGGGGCCTGAGTGAGCCCCAGTGTGTGGACTCCCTGCAGGCTCAGAGCCTGTGGCCAACGAGCTTCCTGCTGCTTATCACCTTTCAGATGTGTAGGGAGCAGGGGCGGCCATACAACAGCAGGTGCCCAGTTCCCCTTAGATCGGGTGGGGTGGGGCGGGTGGGCGCAGGTGAGGGGCCAGCCTCCCCAGAGAGAAGCACCTCCCAGAAAGGGGCTCACTTGAGGGAGGAGGGGGCACGGCCGCTTCCTCTCACATGTGTGGCGTTTCATGTCTGGCAGATGTGAACGAGTGTGCAGACAGTGCCAACCCCCCCTGCCACGCCTCCGCGAGGTGCAGAAACACCAAGGGAAGCTTCCGGTGCCTCTGCGAGGACCCCCACGAGTTAGGAGACGATGGGAGGACCTGCATAGGTGAGGCTGCTTCCCTCTCTCTGTCCGTCCATTTGTGAGTTTTTGTAAAATGAAGAAAAGTGCATTCAAGTGAGGCATCTGTCATCTTGATTGGGAAGGGCGGAGATGAATAAGACACCAAGCCCGAGGTGCTAGAGGATGGATTGCGTGTCTGCACTCCCTCCTGTGTCAGGCACACCCCCTCCTGTGTCAGGCACACCCCTCCCTCCTGAGATGACTTACCCACTACCGCTCTTCCTCCCGGACCTCTGAACATCTGTACCGGCCTGAGCCAGAAGCACCGGAGCCCAGGATCATGTTGCGCACCAAGGCCCACGTCTGAGACATGAATACACAGGGCCCAGGACTGCTTGTCTCCACCGAGACTTACAGACTTAAATGTAGATATCGGTACCGATTATGGATAGAGACTTAGCTTCACATACAGGAACAGATGTAGATACATGGATACACATTGGCGTATTAGATGTAGCTTTAGGAATAGCTATCCCTGTGTAGGTCGAGATGTGGATGCAAACAGAGCTTTAGGTATCGATACCATCACAGAGGAATGGCCTGTGGTTGTGTTTTCTTTCCAACACTGTGGTGAACAGAACCGTGTCCCTGTCCCGGGGATGCCACAAAGTCCTGAGGACTAAGTCCTTGACAAGAGATTCATTCTCAGAGTCCTGGAGGCTGGAGTTCAAGGTCACGGTGAGGGCAGGGCTGGCTCCTCCTGCGGCCTCATCCGTGGCTGTGGACACCACTTCTCCCCATGTCCTTCCGGGTGGTCCCACTATCTGTGGCCTCATTGCCTCGTCTCATAAGGACACAGCTGCCTGGGACCACGGCCCACAGTGGCATCCCCGTGGCACCACAGTTACCTCCTCAAATGCTCCATCCCCGGATCCAGCCATGTTCTGAGGCTAGCGGGGCTAAGGCTTCCACATAAGAATTTAGGAAACCCAGTTCAGCTCATGGCAGGCACTCGGTCCATGGTGCCACCTTTTAATCTTCAGAATAAAACTTTACAAGAGGTTCATACACGGGCATAGGAGTTGCACAAACTATTTTCCAATGTTTTGTTTCAAACCTCTTTTTGTAGTTTTTTTCCTGAGAGCAATTACAACAGATGTTTATCTATTTCCTACATCTTAAGGATTCTTTTCTGTAAACCCTGAAGCCAGATGTGTCTCTAGAGTTGAGACGTTCCCTCCTAGTGCCACCTCTTTGAGGAATGCCCCTGCCTGGGTGCCGTCCGTCTGCCTCTCCAGGTCCTGCCCCATGAAGTGTGTTGAGAGAGCCCCCAAGCCTGGCCGGGACCAGCACTCATGCGGTGCTGGTGCTCAGGGCAGCTCTGAGCTCCCCTGTGCTGTGTGGTTCTGTGTGGTGGGAGCGATGCCTGCTCAGTGCTGTGCCTATCCCGCCCTGCCCCCGCCGGGCTCCTGGCTGCCAGATGTGAACTCAGGGTCCACCGAAGAACACTGGTCTTCCCGCTGAGCCTTGCAGCCCCTCAAGCAGCTGGCTGCCTCTGAGGAGTTTCCTCTCCAACCTGCCCTGAACCTCCCTGGCCCTTCTGGCAGGACCCAGGCTGCCCGGAGGCACAGAACCAGGCTGCTGGTGGAGCCTGATGGTGGACAAAGGTGAACAGTGACCTTCTCTTTCTAAGGAAGGGACTGAGAGAGGGAAAGCGCCCCCAGGGCGTCTCAGGAGCCGGGAGGTGAACAGCAGGGGTCGCTGGCTTCTGTGCTGGTTGCCCATCACCAGCACCCTTATAAATATGCTGCTGCCCCTGCACAACCTTCCACGGAAAATTAGGACGCTGGGCATGACCCTACCTTTCTGCATCCCTGATGCACAAGCCTCACTGTTGTTCTGCGGAGGCCCACGTGGCCCTGTTGAGAGAGCCCTGCTCCCGCACAAGCAGCCATCGGTGCCATCTCGGTATGACGGGCGCAGGCCAGCAGGCCCCAGCACTGCCCCTGGATGCCCCAGCTCTGTCACTGCTGGACAGAATGCCCTAAAAGGTTGGTGGACATGGCTGGCCCTCCACTTTCAGAATGACCAAGTGAAACATAAGTCTGCCTCCACAAGGAAGGATGGACACTGAGAGAGACTCAGAGGCCCCACCTGGGGGGACATTCAGTCGGGTGCTGAAGGCCGGGAGTGACGCAGGAGCTGTGGCTGAGCCAGGTTTACAGTCCCTCATATGAGCCCTGGATGGAGGCCTGAGGTTCCAGGGAGGGTGTGCACCAGGGCCCAGGTCAGAGAGACGAAGACGCAGCTGCCACGGCGTCTCCTTCCATCCTCACGGTGACTCACAGACAAGGAGGCTGAGGCATGGCTGTGAGAGGAGTCCACACTCCCATGGCCCGTGGGAGCTCCAGCCCCGGCCAGGCTGAGTGTGGCCTCCAGAGAAACGGCAGCAATCAGAGATGCAGATGTGGGGATAGAAATAGTTATAGATTAGACAGACAAAGCTGTAGAGACAGTTCGGAGAGGTGGTTATGTTGATTTAGCTATGGAGGTTGATTTAAGCATATATGGATATAGATATTGATTTAGATATTGACACACATATAGATTTACGTAGATTAGACATAAATATGTAGACAGATTGTTTTATCGATTTAGACTGATTAATTATGGATATAGATATAGTTTTAGACAGGTACAGATATGGATATAAAAATATAGATATAAATGTATATGAAAGTTTCATGTAGACACAATGTAGATTTGCTGTGGATGTGAACATGGAGAGGCGAAGCCCCATATACAGATGGTTTTAGGTGCACATCCAGCTCTGCACGGATATGTGAAAGCATCTCTATTCTGCGGAACTTGTCATGGAATTAGGCTGAGGAGTCCCAGGGTCTGCTGTCTGCACACTGGAGCCCCAGGAGAGCTAAGGGTAGGCCCAGCCTGAGGGCAGGCGAAGCTGTGATGAGAGGGCCCAGCTCAAGCAGAGAGAGGCAGGAAAAGAGAAGTGAAGTCATTTCTCCTCCACTTCTTGCTCTGCTGGGGCCCCCAAAGGGTGGGGCAGGGCCCACCACGTCGGGGAGAGCCCTCTGCTTTTCTCAGACCAGATTCCAGCGCCAATCCCTTCCAGAACCTGACTCAGAAACAGCAGGAATAATGTCTAATCTGGGCGCCTATGCTCCGGTCAAGCAGACACATAAAATTAACCCTTCCAGTCATTATTCTGACCTGAATTCCTCAAAAATCCCACTGCCCTCTGTCTGCCCAGGGCCTGCCCAAACCCGCTGGCCTTTCTTTCCAAAGCCCTTGTTAGCCATCACCCAGCCTCGGGGACTCCCACCCCACCAGGGGGCACCCACAACCAGGCCAACAGCAGAGAACTCTGGGGCTCCCTGGGGCAGCACTGAAGAGGTCAGAAAGCCACCCTTGCAGTCACTGGTGACCTTTTGTGATGCCACCGTAGGACGTGCAGGGACTTCAGGGCCTGTCTCAGGAAACTCCCAGCAGCACACAGCCTTACATCTGGCTCCAAGTGGATTTACTGGCTTTTGAAACTGCAAATGCCAAGAAAGAAAATTTGGGAGCAAAGCATAATGGAAAAGCTGCTTTTGGGTAAACATGGAGCTGCTCACCTGCTTGCTGCGGCCTGCCGTTTGCTGGCGTGCAGTGTGGAACTGGAGAGGCTGACGCTGCCACTGCCCAAGATGCCTCCTCCAAGGCCCTGGCATCAGATGCTTGGCTTTGCTGGTGTTTGAGGTTCCACAAGTGGCCCCTGGAAGCCTCCAGCCGAAGCCTCAAACCAAGTCAGGCAGGAAGCATAAGTTCCCCTCCCTGAAACGTCAAACACCGGTTCCAGAATGAATTGCCATGTCTGTGCCTCCTGACTGCCCTGAGCTGGCCTGTGCTTACCTGGACCAATTCCCATCCAGGGCTGGTCAGCTCAGCCTTCTCCACACCCCAGCCCCGGCTGCACAGGCGGAGCCCCCACCAGTAGCATCCGTGGGGGTGGGAGTGGGTAGCAGCAGATGGAAACATGATCCTGGCTGCCTCCTGGGTGCAGGAGGAGTGGGGTCCCACGGCCCGCAAGCAGCTTGCTCTCCACGGGCTTTCAGCAAGAGGCTGGCGTGTGCAGGTTGCGCTGTGGACTCTCCCGTGCTGTGACAGGTAGAAGGAAGGAGGCCCTGGAGGAGGAGGATGGTTAGAGGAGGCCAGCAGGAAAAGTCGGGAGGTGCAAAGGCTGAAAAGACAAAATCATTTGAGAGAAACACTCGGGATTTAAGATTCATTCATTCTTGCATCCCACAAATACTTGCTGAATGTCCAAGACCGCTGCTAGGAGAACAACTGCAGGTGGGCACGGCCTGTGCCTGGGCTGGAAATGAGACACCTGCAGATCATGCCGGGCGCTAACTGGCATGGGGAACTGCAGACGCCCACGGACGCACTCATCACCGATTTTCAGCAATCCAGCGTGAGAAACCAAACCGAGCCCCCGTTCCCCAGCCACTGCCTCCGTCTGGCGCCCGAGCACGTTCCCTTAGACCAGAGCCTTTCCTCAGCCACGAGTGGTGTTTATCCACAGCAGCCCATGTTTGTTTTAAAAACACACACACACTGATTGGTAGCATTTAATTTCTTTTTAAAAGTGGGTTTTCATTTCATCCTGGATTTCTCCCTGGTTGCCTTGAATGGGCACCTAAACAGAAAAGCCAGTAATAAAACGGTGGCCAAAAGAACTCTGAGTTCAAAGTCACAGTGGCCCCAGGCTGACTTCTCCTCGCAGAAAGCGTAGGAACCACAGGTAGGAGCACAGGAGCCCTTGCTCAGTCCCAGCTTTTTCGGGTGAAGGCACAGGTCAGGGTGGGAGCACTTCCTCAGGCCCCTCACCAGATGCTTCGGGCTGGCTCCTGGCTGCCTCCCTCCCTCCCTCCTCCGTCCCTTCAGGCCCCTGGCTGCCTCCCTCCCTCCTCCCGTTGGGCCTTCTGTGCTTCCCTGTTCAATTCTCGCCAACCCTGTTCAGTTTCTTCCTGGAACAGGCCTATGAGACTCAGGCTGAGCTCCGAAATCTGCTGCCATCCCGTGCCCCCGTACCCCAGGGCTGCAGCTCTGCAAGGTGCAGACCACCTCCCCTTGACCATGGTTTCACCTCCAGGAGGACCCTGGGGAAAATAAAATGCAACCACGGGCGAAACCTCCCAGCCCTACCCCGACCAAAGGGGAAACCCCACAGCGCCACCCCGACCACAGGGGAAACCTCCCAGCCCTACCCCGACCACAGGGGAAACCTCACAGCGCCACCCCGACCACAGGGGAAACCTCACAGCACTACCCCTTGCCCCTTACGGCACACCTTGTGCCACTTTCCCACCCCATCCGGGGTCCCCCAGGGCTGCCTGGGTCTCATGGCCCACTCAGAGGATACTGAGAGCCCTCCCTGGTTCAGGCAGCAAGGGATGCGTTCCGTCCTGCAGGACGGCGTCCATGCCAAGCCCAGCAGTGAGGCTGCTGGAGAGTGGGAGCCAACTTCTCTGCCCTGTGTCCTCTGCTGGCTCTCCCAACACTTGTCACATTTGGGTCTACACGGCTTTTCTGGGCTGATAAATGACCCTCCCTGCTGTGGGGTGAAGGCAGCCGGCCCAGGACAGGGTGCGGCCCGGCTCAGGCAGGACATCCTGGCTTGCCCAGGCCATGGAAGCTGCTTCTAACCAGGCATCTTTCTGTGCCCCAGACTCCAGGAGCCTCCCACGGGCGTCTTGGGTCTCCATCTCGCTGGCTGCTCTGCTGATCGGAGGCTTGGCAGGTCTCACCTGGACAATGATTTGCAGGTGGTAAGTCCTTCATTTTCTAACCGTTACTTAGATGCAAAGCAATTTCCTTTCCTCTGGCCATGGCTGTAATGAAGCTGCTTTATTTTCCCGAAGCTAACACAGGTTACTGGTATCTCAAAGGCATTGATCTCAGAGCTGTTTTGCATAACTGCTTAGACTCTCTGGATCTTTCATTATGCTTTAAATAATGAAAGTGGAGTGATCAGTCGTACACCTCAGGCGGAGTCAGGTATCTGTGGTGAAGATTCGGCGATATGACATAAACTTCTAACATGAAATGACTGCATGGAAATAGTCCTTGTTAGCAGTAAAGACTCTTAAAAGGTTTCTCAGAGAAAGAAAGGTCAGTTTTAAAGCCTCCCTTGAGGGCAGAAAGGGAAAGCTTAATTTTCATGTTAAAAATGGTGCTGCTGGCGGGGTGCAGTGGCTCATGGCTGTAATCCCAGCACTTTGTGAAGCTGAGGTGGGTGGATCACAAGGTCAGGAGTTCAAGACCAGCCTCGCCAACATAGTGAAACCCCGTCTCTACAGAAAATACAAAAAAAATTAGCTGGGTGTGGTGTCAGGTGCCTGTAATCCCAGCCACTCGGGAGGCTGAGGCATGAGAATTGCTTGAACTCACGAGGCAGAGGTTGCAGTGAGCAGAGATTGCACCGCTGCACTCCAGCCTGGGCGATAGTACGAGACACCATCTCAAAAAAAAAAAAAAGAAATGGTGCTGTTGTTGAAAGACTAAGACGGGAACCTGAGCAGTCCTGTCTCTGAGGGTGCTCTCTGCAGAAGGAGCCCCTTGAGGCTTCCTTGGCCGGGGCAGCAGGTCTGTGTCCCCAGCCCTGAGAAACCGGCTCTGCTCCTTGCTGCTGCCTCTCGCCTTGCTGCCCTTGAGAATCAAACCCTTAGCATCACTTCATTTTTAATGCACACTTGTTCCTTTTATAGAGAAAGTATTTAAAATAACAGCAAACACTATAAGAAGTCATTGCAGCCCCAGGCTGGGCCCCCAGGACCATACCCAGGATACCTGCAAATAAAGGCCACACCACGGCCTCCGTTCATTGGCCGCCAGGCTCAGCCCAGCAGGACACATCCTCGCTCCCGCTGCAGCCAGCTCTGCCCTCCCTGCCGGGATGACTCCTGAGGTCTCTTTGGACTACACCCTGGCCTGCAGAGCTCCTCACTGGCTGAGCCTCCTGGCATCACCCCATAGCACACATCTCATGGATTATCCCGGGCCTCCCCACCCTAAGGCTGCTTCTAGGGTGCTGCTTCTAGATCTTCCCAATAAATTCAACACTCTAGCAACCTTCATTTTTCTAGCAACTTCTTGATACACTGAGGAACATCTGCCCCTTGAACAAGAAACCTTTTTCTTACAGTTTCTATACGACTTACAGGAACTGGTTTTTAAAACTCAGAAGTTTATCAACCAAACATTGCCCAGGGTCATGATTGTTTCCAAAGGGCCTTGTCAAGGATCCAGTCGTGGGCTGTCTTCTGTTGTATTTTGTGAGCACTTGTAAGGGAGGCCTCTGTGCCTGCGATCTGCTCCGTGTCCTGTTTCTCCGCTGCTGAGATACAGTATAAAGCCAGTTCCCGGTTTCGGTTATTCTGCAAGGCCTCTGACTACTCCAGATGCCTGCGCTTGACACATGGGCTTATGATCTCTATGAGATACGGTACTTCAGTGACGTATGTCTGCGCAGCTTCATAGCTTCTAACGGAACTGACATACGCCATCTTTCAGACAACTGAGAGAAATTCCTCCCAGTGGAGCGGTGATAGCAGAAGCTAAGGCATGTATCAGACACGAGGCTAAGTCATTTTTAGCCCCTGTCTCGTCTGATTTTCCAGTCATCTGACTCAGGCACTTGCCATGGCTTAAACTGTGCAATCCTCAAAACGTATGTTTGCATCCTGAGCTTTATGTTAGCAGTAAAGACTCTTAAATCAGAATGTAACCTTGTTTGGAAATAAAGTCTTTGCGGATGGAATTAGCTAAAACGAGGTGATCCGGGAGTCGAGTGGCCCCTAATCAATGTAGCTGCTGTTCCTCTAGAGAGAAGAATTTGGAGAGAGTCCTGCCTGGCAGGAGAAGGCCATTGCGATGGGCAGGTGGAGATCAGGGTGCGGTTTCTCTAAGCTGGGGCCTGGGAAGGTGGCCGGCAGCCACAGAACTGGGAGGGAGGCGGGGGAGCCGACCCTCAGGTACCTTGATGTGGACTCCTGCCTTCAGAGCTCGAGCTCTGAAACTTCCACGGTTTCAGCAGCCAGGCCTGTGGTTCTCTGGGACTGCAGCCCCAGAAAACTAACAGCGCACTAGGATTATGTCCATTTCAGCACAGCATGCAGAGGTGGAGTGAGGGTCTATGACTTCCCCAAAGCTACTAAGCCCAGAGCAGACCCTTGAACCCAAGACCTGTCTGGTGCTGGAGGTCGTGCCACAGCCGCCCTGCTTGTTCTCACAGGAAGAGTGTATTCCACATGCAGGGCTGTTGTTTCAAATAATCATTACCGGTGAACACTGAATAATCACCTGTAATCTCTGCAAGACTGTGTTGGTCTGTTTTGGGAAGAAACTACTTAAACTAACATTTAAACAGTGTCTCTAGCTTTAGATGGGGTGGTGGCAGGAAATACTATGTTTTATGAATCATTTGGTCTTTAAAGCGTAAAAATTACTAATAATTAAAACGCTTAGCTAACCATGAAATAGACTAAGCAATAAAAATGGAATAGGCTGGAAGCAAATAGCTTCCAATTAGCTGGGTCCTGTAATTGTATCAATAGAATGTGTAGATTGTAACAAAAGCTGATGTTACTCTAATTTCCTGTTTATAAACAATTGTGCATTTGCAAACATCTCCACAAATCTATCGCATTATCACTGTGAAAAATATGAGTGTCTGCAGCCACATTCACAAGAAAAACAGCGGTTTTCTTTAAGATTGGCAGCCACAGAGTAAATGAACATCTTTCCAAGGAAACCTGGGAGAGAAATGTTTGGCTACAGTTGACTATAGACTCTGGAGTTCTAAAAATATGCTCCCAAGCACCAGCTTAGCCTGCAAATGCCACTTAGCTGAAGAAGTAGATACTAATGTGCCAACAGGTGATTGAGGAAAGAGGCGGCTATTGACTCAGAGACTAACGGGGAAGACCTTGGGGCTTCCGGGAAAACGTCCTCCACCAAAGCCACAGCAGCCCGACCCGTGATGGGGTGAGCTCAGAAGGTCAAGTCACTCATTCAGGAAAAGTCTTCCCAACGCCTGCCCTGAGACCCTCGTGCTGCTCCCAGCAACCCGGCTCAGCTCAATCCCACCCCACCTCTCTCTGTGTCTCATTCTTCAGCTTTAAAAACATGTTATGATTTCCAGTGTATGGCATCGTTGCTCGGTAAGGAGTAGGGAGGAGAATGGAGAGGGAAAACGAGAGGGAGAGCCAGAGACAGTGGAGAGAGACATGGGAGGGAGAGAGAACCCAGCGCAGCGTTGCAACAGCAGGTGCTCAGCAAACACGAGCTTCCTCTCCTAATGGAACAAAGTGTTTGCTTCTCTACTCTCCTCCGTATTTTCTACCCACCCTGCTGTTTGGGGTCTAACAGTGTATGTTTGGGTGTGATTATTATTAATGTGATAAATTATTAATGCATTTTCACTGCAACTCTATGATTCAGAGTTAACTCCATCAAGCCAACTCCTTCATTGCCTTGACACTGCATTTAAAATACCTCCAAGGTATTTTACACTTTTTATTGCATTGAAATTATTTTCGTCAAGTTGAATTCTTTCTGTGCAAACTTTTACACTAAAAACGCATCCACCAGTCAGTTCTTTGGTCCATGTCAGTTTTGCCAATTAGACCTCTTGCCATGGAGGGGTTTTGCCTTGTGCTGTGATTCCTTCATGTCCAGCTTTCTCAGCTCAGCAGTTCACACGCAAGTTTCGTGGAGACCGTGTCTGTCTGTTGATTCTTACTGGTCCAGGAAAACATTAACACCTGCAGTTTCACCCCTTCTCCATCTGCTCTTACGTTTATCATTTTCCAGCTCTGCTTGTCCACCGTCACTTAGTTCTGTGATGTCTGAAATACAGTTGTTGAGGTTTTGTCTGTGGTAAGCGGTGCCCTGACCTCTGTGCTGTTTCCAGCTGTATTTTGTATTGATATTCCCACTAGGAGTGTGCATTATAAACTCGAGAAACGTGGAACCACTTGCATTCGTGTCCAGTGAATCCGTGGGAGAGCTGTGAGGTCCTTCCCACTTCTGCCTTTTGTTCAAGCCTTGGTCTTTCCGTAGAATGCTCTGTCTTTATCATCTCAACCCAGCCTCCAGCGTTCAAGTCTGATGCATCGCTAAGGCTCCACCCAAATGCCACCTGCTGTGTGCAGCCTCCCCCAGCTCCTCCGCAGGGAGAGGCTTCTCCACCCTGTGAATCTCTCCTCCCTCCTTTGCCTAGAAGCATCTTCCGATTAGTAAGCCTTCAATAAATACTTCTCATATTAAGGAGTCGCTCTCACCTGATACGAAGGAAAGGGGGTTGAATTCAGAGGCACAGACACACCCTGCCCCGGTTTCTAAAGTGTTTATGAAGAAACTCGAGTTCAGTTGGTGAAACAGCCATACATGCAATTGTATAGAAAAGTCAGGATTATTTGACAAGGATTGTTTCCCATGCTTTTACAAGATTCAGAACTTCAATGAATATAGTGAATAATTTTAAAAGACATAAGACCGCTCTAGATTGAAAGGAGCATGTGTTTATAAAACAACAGTGAACAGTGAATGCAAAGTATTTTCATTGAAATTTCTATTATGCAGCAAATTCATAAAATAAGGAAAGTCTTTTTCTGACGTTTTCAAGACATGTTCTGTTAAATCATGGCCTTTCTTCAGGTGGGCTTTTCCCTGGGATATTGAGAGGTAAGACATTGGCATGGCAATGGCCCAGGCTGAGGAGGGCAGGGGCTGGCATCACAAACAACCATGTTTGGTGGCTTAGAGA